TATAAGATTAGTTGATTATTGCCTATGGAAATATATAAGGTGTCACACGTGTTGAGTTATGGCAAGTCACGTGGATAACAGGTCATAGTCATATGTTAAATGTATTGTGACAATGCACCTAATGTATGTGAGATGAAAATAGGTTAAAGGTGTAATGATAAGTTTTGTTATATGGTTAAACATGGTTTAAGAACTTGTTTTCATATGCATGTGTTTGATTTACAACTGATATATAATTGTATAAGGTAGGTATTATCTTGATTACTAAGTGACTAGATTCACTCTTTTCCTTTAACCTTTTACATGTTTTAGCTTTGGCGCAGAGAGGGAGAAGGCTCAAAAGGTTAGAAATTAGTTCATTCCTATTGTATGCCTCTAGTTTATATTTATTTTGTGTAATAAAATATGGTTGTCAATTCTAGGTTGCATATTGTTGCACTTGCACTATTTTGTTGTTGCAATTAATTGAATTGTATTTTGAGCCTTGAGTAATTATGTATGGTGAGATAGATTTGTTGATAGGGCTAAAATACTAGTGCAAGTGTAGAAATGATGTTTAAACATGTTATGATTGATTTATGAGTAAATGTAATGAAATTTCCTCCTTTTTTTTGTTTTTGGTGGGAGAAGGGTTGATGAGTAATTTTGAGTTATACTAATATTTAAGTGTATGTGACGTGTTGTATTGATAGTTTTTAGGTCTAATGGATATGGTTTGGGTGTTAAGAATAGCTTTTGGCACTTGATATGGGTTTTAGACACCTTTTTTGTGTGAAAGTTAAAAAAAGTTATAAAAATGTGTTTAGGTGTTCAACTTCTTAGCGTGACTTATTTTGAAAGTGAAATTCGTGCCATTAACTAGTTTATAGAAAGAGTTTTCCTTAGACACCTAGATCATGTTACTTGGATATCGAATAGAGAATCACGACGCGTCGAAAGTTTTCCGATACTATTGTCAATTTGCTGTTATTTGTGTGCAACACACCGCGGTGCGTGGCATAGAGAGCAACACGCCATGGTGCAATGTGCACAAGTCGCAGTGCATTGCCCTGTCCTGTAGCAAATGAGTTGTTCTTCATTAGCTTTCATTCTTTTTCACTCCTCTGAGGTATCACATACCTTAACTTGTTTTTACTTTGATATAAGAGATTATGATTAATAAACTCATGTTGATTAAGAAAACTTGAGATTCTTTAATTTTTAATTAAAACTTGGTAATCGCCTTTATGGCTTAATTATTTGATTACGATAAGTTTGTTTGATTAATTATATTTAGTAGTGAGGGATTTTACACTGAGCATACCTTTAAGGATAGAATCATCTGACAAAAAGTGTTCTGTTCCACTTCACAAATATGGATTCCCCTTATCACATATATATGATCGGGGTGTTGTTATTGCAACACTGCATTATAGATGCTAAGGAATGTAAATCTCCAACATTGTACCCATATAGGCGTGAACAAGAGGAATTCTTCAACATCGCACTCTATTAGGCGCTAAGAAAAATAAATGCCATATGGTCTTACACTATTCCTGCTTATAAGTGAACTTCCACTCTTAATATGATCATGTTCACATTTCTCAAGTATAATCCCCCCACACACCATATATATACCTTTTTAACTCTAAACTCTTCCAAAAACCATTTTCCATAATAATTTATTCTATAAATTTAATTATTTCCAATGCAAATTATGCAAGTGGAAGAGAAAGGAAAAAAAGTGGGAAAGGAATGCACAATTAATAAAGACAAAAGGCAAAGTCAAAAGTTAAAAAAATGAAGGGGCCAAGGTAATAATTTCACTCTTTGATCTAATCTTTCAAGGCTTAAGTCTCGTCTCACCATGTTACTAGTCCTATGTACAGGAATTTAGGATTGTACTTGTCCTTGTAATCACCCTTACTTGCCTCACTCATATCAGGACAGGACTATTTTAATCCAAAAAAATCAAGATAAGACTTTTGTAAGATAGGATTAAAAGGGAAACAAGATGAGACAGGACTTAGAATCATCCTTAAGACGTCCCATCCCATATATAATACATATATTTTCTTTCTTTTATTTTTACATCTCGATCAATTTATGTTCAGTATGTTGTCCACTTGTTTAGCCTTCACTCTTCAATCTTCACCACCGACTCTCAAATGTTATCTATTCTCTCTCCAGATATATGTGTAAATATATATACATAACATGTATGTTTGTATGGTTTGTGGAATCTATTATAGTGAAGATATATTCCTGCAAAGCTCTTTATCATGCAATGCTTATTTGGCTTTGTCTTTTTCCTTTTATTATAGGTTACTTGGTATGGTATTATTTGCTAACAACTGATGTTGACTGAAACCAAATTATCTACTTTTCAAATACTAAATGACGTTAATCAATTATATAAAATCTCATCACTTCCACAATGTATAAGGTTGGATTACTTTCCATCCACGGTCATGTATTCCCTATCCAAGTTTATGCCTAGTTGTTGTTTTATTTGTAAACTTATAACCATAATTTTTAACATTTAATAATTGACTTTAAGTTATTGTAATTTATATATTATTATATTATTTTAATTTTAGATTTAGCAAGTTATGTGATTTAATATTTTAATAAATATTTTTATTCAAGCATCGCTCTTATGTCTATTTTATCAAGACAAATTTTGGGATTGAATAAAAAATTAATCTTGATCATTTTTTTGGAATGGGAGACAGGTGTGTTGATCTGGTCTCATCCTGTGAATATCCAAAGTTCTATGGGAGCTGCACATATATACAAACCCAATAAATAATATTATATTGATTAGCTTTATATGCTTCATATCTACAAACAGTATCTAAGTTCATTTTGCAAATTTGATTGTGACAGTATAATAAGATCATCAGGGCCGTGTGAAGATGTTTTGAGGCCTAAGGTAAAATTGTTAACAAAACTTAATATGTGTAATTGTTCCTTAAGAAAAATGCACTCATCATTTTTTACAAAATTATATATTAAAATTTTATAATATAGTGATTCTAATAAAATACTAAATTAATTTAATAGTTAAATGAAAAATTAATATTGACAAAGTACTCATAGCTCATCTTATATATTAGGATAGAATATTGACAATGGTATGGGATGACAATACATTTTTAACAAAAAAGATATAATTAAGATTAATAATATCAATGATTAATGTCAAAAACTAATAATAATTATATAAATTATAAGCAAGATTTTTAATAAGGCTTAAAAGCATCATGTTGATGGTTTTAAACTACATAAGGTCTTGATACTAATAGTTGTCGATGTCTTAGACTTTAAAATAAGAAAAGGAGAAAATAAAAAGTGAAACTGTGAGAGAAATTTAAAGCAAGCTATATAGTGTAAATTAGTATCTTATAAATTTCACTATTTTTTATGTAGATAATAAACTCAACTCAATAATTAATGTTATAATGAGAATGATTAAAACTTTTTAATAAAAAAATAATCAATAATTTTTTTTATATTTTATCAGCAATTAAATATATAATAATATAAATATCAATTACATATATATATATATATATATATATATATGATAGGAATATTAATAATTTTTTTTGGAGGCCCAGGGCAATTGCCTCACTTGCTTTATGGCTTCCACGGCCCTGAAGATCATGTCTAATCTTTGCGGACTTGTTTTCTAAGGGTGCGTTGGGAGAGATGACATCAGTCATCAGATGAAAGAACAGCAGCAGCATGGGCACGTCGAATCTTTGTATATATAGCTTCTCTTAATTTTTTTTTTGCCTTTTTATTTTCCCTTCATTTCCTATTTCCTATCTCAAAGTTTAATTTTTAATATTTTATGAAATTAATATTAACATATTAAATTATAAAAAATAAATAATTTTAAAATACAATAAATTTAATCTAAACTATCATGATATTTATGATTGTAATAAAAATTTTAAAAAATTATTTTTATAAAATTATTAAATCTTAATTATTTAAAATTTGATTCAATAATTGAAATGGAAAATGGATATGAAATGGTGAGGGAAAAAAATTGAGAGAAGCCAACTCTTCTCACAAGGTTATGTTCTTTATGTGAAACAACCTTCATCTTTTCCAATGGCGATAGCTTCTCTTACGACTTTACGACCGTCCACCATCCAGTCCTCAACAAACCCGAACCGAGCAACTGGAAACAAGTTTCTTCGAACGGGTGGGCCCCGTTGTTCGGAATATTGTCGAAACCCAACTACAGCGATCGCACCACCAATTCTTCATGGAAGGCCGATAACAAACTAGTCCGACCCACATCCCCATATCCAAGTTCGCTCCTTGATGCGTCACCAAGGAAAATGCCAGACAGCTACTGGATAAATCAGCATGAAGATTGAAATAAAACTCTGTTTGTCAAATTTTCAAGCGTTGAAGCGAAACCCAAAGTCTCAAGAGAATCCAATTACTGTAGCGGTAATCTTTGAATGAACAAAAAAATTGAAAAATTTGTCATTCGCATGAAGTTGTTTATTATGGCATGCGACTGATACATCAACAGGACCATGTCATTTGTGTCCAACTCACTGATATACACTAGCATATTATTTCTTTTTACTCCTTCCAAGATCATTAATCTTTCTAGTTTATATGTTTATCAACAAAAGCATCATTTTCTCACTTCTTTCCCGATTGTCATCTTTGATCGGTCGGTTCTTGGTCGGAGACTTGGATTTTGTGAAGAAGAAGAAGAAGAAGAAGAAGAAGAAGAATAATAATAATAATAATAATAACTTATTGTAGATCTTTCTCTACGTCATGTTGTGAAACCCACTGGATTTACTTTACTGTATATATAATAGCCTCTCTATTTATCAGTTCAAATACAGTTTCCCCCACGTTGATTCTGATGAAATACATACACATATATATATATATATGTAATGTAATGTAATTTTTGACTGTATAATTTTACTGTATATAATGACCTTGTATTACTGATAATTGTGAGAAGAAGGTGGAAAATGACGAGAAGGAAGATACAGATAAAGAAAATAGACAGTGTAACAGCAGGACAAGTGACATTCTCAAAGAGAAGGAAAGGTCTCTTCAAGAAGGCACAGGAACTCTCAATTCTCTGCGACACTGAAATCGCCCTCTGGGTACCGTCTTCTCTTCCACGAGCAAGGTCTTTGATTATGCTAGCTCAAGGTTCTTGTACATGTTATCACTTCTCTCAATTTCATTCTTATACACACAAACACACACATATGTACATGCAAGGGATAACACTATTTTCATTCTAGGGGGTGTGTAATGCGTGATCGATTTAAGAATGCAATATATATGAAACTGTATGAGTACTCATTAATTATTTATCAATATGCGTGCGGGAGCCATGTGTGATTGATTCAAGAATGCAATATATATGAAACTGTATGAGTACTCATTATTTATGAATATGTGTGTGTGTTTGCACTTAGGATCTCTCACTTTGTATTGTCTATAAAACTAGGTAGCTAGGAGCAGGTGTTTTGATTTTTTATTGTATAACTTCTTAATCTGATAATACAGCTTAACTCTTGAGGTCACCTGGCCTTATTTTCTCAAATTTTACTATTTAGGAGACCATGTTTCCCTTTGTACTTGTGATTTGTGAATGACATAATTGTGATTATTATGTTCACTAGATAAGATGCTGAACAGAGTTTGTGGTCTCATTAGTTTTGGTCCTTTTTTGATATTTTCAATATGATCAGATTCCTGCATTCACCTTCAACAAATTGAATATGCTGGTTTCGCATGCTGGTTTAGAATATTGCCCCTTCTTGACCGTGTGATATGCTGGTCCATTTCAATGATATCTGGGTTGATAAAGCACTAGAATTTGATATTTGACAGGATTTTGAGGCCATTCTTGGTTGCATTTTAAGGTAATGGAGTGAAATTCTTGGTTGTATTTTAAAAACCAGTCATTGCAGTCACTCATGTGCTTTCAGTGATGCTACGGCTGTTGCTGCTGCTACTGTACATTCCTGGACGGTCTTCCTTGTCTCAAACGAGAATGATCTTTTGTACATTGATGAGGGGATTAATGATTGATGATATGGAGATATATTAGATTTGAGTAAGATGTAGGAGATAAATTAAAATTTTAAAAAATCACAATGCAAAACAAGATCCATATTATTTACTGATACTTTCTTATAATCAATAAATATGAGAGTTGATCTGCATTATTTACTAGTTTTTTTAAATTAAATATTTGATACTCTCTTTGTTCAAAAATGTAAGATATTTTTTGAAGAGTTAGATGTTAAAAAATGTAAGGTATTTTTAATCCTTCAAGATGTAATCATTGTATTTTTTCTAAAAGTATCCCTATTAATAATGCCTTTATATTTATTATAGGGTATTTAATAGGGATGAATATGAAAAGATAAGATTAGTTAAAAAGTAGATGATTGCTTTATTGGGGGGTGAGACTCAATTAAAAATGTCTTATATTTATGAACGGAAGGAGTACTTGATAGACAAGTAGTTGCATATTAAGTATATAATATTTAATCTGCAATCCCCAAATAAAAAAAATTACATATTAGATTTGTCATATTTAATTTTTGACCCATTAGGACTAAATTCAAATGTATTTGAGGATTGTCTCCACTGGTCTAGAGTCTAAGGTCCATCACTAGTTAAAATCATTGACTTGGTTTTTTATTTATTTTGCCCCCTTCTTTATCTCCACTGCTTCTTTTTAATAAAGAATGGAACAACTAACAAGATGTTGAAACCAGAATGGTTAGAGTTTCTACTTTTTACGGTGGATTCGAAAAGTCTGCATGACTAGAACACTTTTTCTTAAAAAAATAAAAATACAGGTTTTTCATAATGATTTATTTTTATCATGAGTTTTTCATAATGATTTATCTTGTCGTTAATGACATTTTAGTATTTGTGACACTATTTCTTAGAAAAAGACAGGGAAATTTCATTAAAACCTCCAGCAGGGACCTAATTTTTAAAAAAGTGTTAAATAAATATAAAATTATTTTACAGAATTGTAAAGTCTAATTTATTGAATCGACGTTAAAAAATGATCGTTACTTTGTTTCTCATTAAATTCAGTCATCACTCTTCTTCCCGTTGTCATTACTAGGTCATGATTTTTATAGTAATAATTGAATAAAAAATATCACATCATTTTGTTGTGGGATAGTTGAAATTAAATCCCACAATTAACTCAATCCTCCATCATCTAGGCTATGGGGATGATTAAAAAACGAAATCCCCAGGAATTATTTAAAAAAAATGTAATCCCAAAATTGATAATTAAGTCCATAGTTTTCAAAAGAATTAATTAATAATTTATCAATTTATTAATTTTTTTAATTTCAGTCACCTAGCGTATGAGATACGCATCTCCATTTTCACCGCCGACTCTTGAGACTCGCTTTTCTCCCCTCTATTCTCTTGATTTTCTTCACTCCGAAGGCTTCACTTTCTTCTCTTCACTGGTTCCGTTTCTCTTGCCCTTCCCGCTTGTCTTTCTTTCTTCGCTTAGGAGGTGAAGATAGCATCGAATCGATCAGTCGAAAAGCACAAGGAAGAGTCTCAGAAGGCATCGAAGAAGGGTTTTTTGAAATCAGAACATGATTTCAGACCTTATAACTTTGTTCTTTTTCTGGATAAAGCGATATTTAGTTGTTTTTCATAGTCGCAGACGAAGCACTGTATCTCTCTTTCTGTTGACGCTTCAACACCTCCAAGTGCTACAAGGGCTCGAAGGTATACTGTTGGTTATTGTTATTGGTTTTTTCTCATGTCATTTTCCTCAATCTAGAAATTTAAGTTTCCTTTCTGGTTTGATTACGGAATTAGGTCATGAATTGGTGAAATCAACAAACTGTCATCGAAAGGTGGCGATGGCGAGAGGCAGATCGAGGCGAAACGTTGCGTCGCTTGTCAAGATGCCACTGCTCGAATCAGGGTAATTTTCGTTTATCGCTCACAACACCCATAGTTGATATTATTTCTCAAATTTTCTGCTGATCTCTGTTTTAGAATTAGACTCTGTTTTAGAATTAGACGTGTTAATTAAATGGAATTGAGGAAATTGTGGTAGCAAATATAAGATATACACTAAGGACTTTGGAGGTGTTAGATAGATGTTGGTTTAACTCCAATAGTACTAGTGGATGCGTAACGTCATACCATATAATCCTTCAAAAGGATGGCTCCTCTGTGATGAAGAAAGTAGTTTCATCACATATTTGATATTGTCAATTTAATTGTTAAGTGAATGTATCATATATTTATCTTAGATTAACCGTATGAGAGTGAATGTAGATATAACTTCACTTACTCATTTTTCTAGTCAATATCAATATTAGATTATAACTAATAGCGGTTAGGCACGCCTTGCGTTAATTCCAACAGTTTCTTGTGTTCGAAAGCTCGTGTTCTAACATTTTATGATATGTTGTTTCAAAACAATGGCTACTTTGTTGATTGCTGAGTGGGTTTATCATATTTTTAGTGGCTGTTAACTATCCATCTTGTGTGTTACGGAATCAATATTCATATCTTATGGTAGTGTCATGTCATGTTGTATTGTTCGCTTTCGTCAATCTAACAGTAATGTTAATCATAAAGAATATTCATTAAAAGTGTATCATATTTTCAAACATTTACGGTATTTTTTTTAAATATATTTTTGATGTGGGATTTGAGGAAACAATCATGCGCACATTAATTAGTGTGTGTAACTCGTTGCATTCTTTCTCATTTTTTCCTTGTGCTTTTTGTTCTTTTTTTTGTTTTGTTTTACATTTTAAAGCTTTTTTACATTAAGTACATTTTTTTAATCTTTACTCTTCCTATTATTTATATATGTTTTATGTTTAAACTTTATTTTTTATTTATCATAAATATATCTTCAAAAAGTGATTATTGCTTCGTATTTTTTTAATATCTCAATTTTTAAATAAAAGTAATCTTTTATTGTCTTTTAAAAAAATGTATTTTTGATGTACACGCCAACACATACACATCATATATAATTCATTGCATTTTTTCTCATTGTTTCTCGTTCTTTTCGTTCATTTTTTACATTTTAAAGCTTTTTTTAAATATAAGCACATTTTTTAACCTTTACACTTCTTATTATTTATCTATATTTTTTTAAATTTGATTTTTTTAATTCATCTTAAATACGTTCTCAAAAAGTGCTTAATGTATTATATTTTTCTTGATATATTTCTCAATTTTTAAATTAAAGTCATCTTTTATATTCTTTAAGAACATAAATTTTTGATGTGAAACTTGATGAAATTATCATGCACTCACACCATGTATAACTCATTACATTTTTTTTTCTCTTTTTTTCATCCAGCCTTTTGTTGATTTTTTTACTTCAATTATAAATATTTTTTTATACTTGATTTTTAATTTAGCTTAAATATGTCTTCAAAAAAACGTTTATTGCTTTACATTTTTATTGATGCCTTCTGAAATTTTGAATAAAATACATCATATATGAAGAATTTGAAGTATTTTTTTAAACTCATTGCATTCTTTCTGTTTTGTTTAGCTTAAATATGTCTTCAAAAATGCTTATTGCTTTATATTTTTTTTATATCCATCTCAAATTGTAAATAAAATTTATCGCTTATGAAGAATGTTAGTCTTATATATTCTTAAAAAAATGTATCATATTATCAAGCATTTGAAGTATTTTCTTTAAACTCTTGCATTATTTCTCTGTTTTTTTTTTTAAATTTTGTTACATTTTAGAGGTTTTTTAATCTTTACACTTCCTATTAGTTATCCATTTTTTTAAACTTGATTTTTCTAGCTTAAATATGTCTTTAAAAGGTGCTTAATGCTTTAAGTTTTTTTTAATATCTTTCTCAAATTTTAAATTAAAGCCATCTTTTACATTCTTTAAAATTTTTTCATCCTTTTTGTTGATTTTTACTTCATTTTAAAGATTTTTTTTTTAAAATACAAGCACATCTTTTAATCTTTGCATTTCCTATTATAGTAATAATATATATTATATTGTTGATACTTGATTTTTGTTTAGCTTAAATATGTCGTAAAAAAATGTTTATTGCTTTACGCTTTTATTGATATTTTTCTCAAATTTTAAATTAAAGTCATCTTTTACATTCCTTAAATTTTTTTGTTTATTTTTACTTCATTTTAAAGTTACTTTTTAAAATTATAAGCACATTTTCTAATATTTGCACTTCTTGTTATCTTTGTATAATTTTTTTTTGTTTAAACTTGATTTTTTATTTAGCTTAAATATCTCTTCAACAAATGTTTATTGCTTCACATTTTTGTTGATATCTTTTTCAAATTTTAAATAAAATTCATCATTTATGAAGAATGTTAATCTTATATATTCTTACAATATGTATCATATTTCGAAGTATTTTCTTTAAATTCATTGCATTCTTTCTCTATTTTTTTCATTATTTTATTTTATTTTTTATATTAAATTTTTTAATAAATCCATATTTTTAATCTTTTCACTTCCTATTATTTATTTATATTTTTTTGTTTAAACTTGATTTTTTATTTATCTTAAATAATTCTTCAAAACTTTTTCAATGCTTTAAATTTTTCTTGACATCTTTCTCAATTTTGAAATTAAAGTCATCTTTTACATTCATTAAATTTTTTTATCCACTTTTTTTGTTGATTTTTTACATCATTTTAAAGTTATTTTTTTAAAATATAAGCAGATCTTATAATCGTTGCACTTACTTTTATCTTTGTATATTTTTTAAAACTTTATTTTTTATTTCGTTTAAACATGTCTTCAATAATTGTTTATTGCTTTGCATTTTTATTAATATCTTTCCCAAATTTTAAATAAAATTCATCATTTATTAAGAATGTTTAATGTTTAACTTATATATTGTTATAAAATGTATCATATTATCAAGAATTAGAGTATTTTCTTTGAACTCATTGCATTCTTTCTCCTTTTTATGGTTCTTTTTGTTGATTTTTTATTTTACATTTTAAAGTAATTTTTTAAATATAAACTTATTTTTTAATCTTTATACTTCCTGTTATTTATTTGTTTTTTCTCTTTAAACTTGATTTTTTATGCTTAAATATGTCTTCAAATAGTGCTTAGTGCTTAATGCTTTAAATTTTTCTGGATTTCTTTCTAAATTTTTAAATTGAAGTCGTGCTTTACTTTAAATTTTTTCATCCAGTTTTTTTTTGTTTACTTTTACTTCATTTTAAAGATATTTTTTAGATTCATCATTTATGATGAATGTAAATCTTAGGTATTCTTACAAAATTTATCATATTATATCAAGCGTTTGAAGTTTTTTCTTTAAACTCACTGCATTATTTCTCTTTTATCGTTGTTTTTTTTATTTTTTTTAGTTTTGAAGGTTTTTTAATCTTTCCACTTTCTAATATTTATCTATATTTTTTAAAATTTGATTTTTTTTTTTCAACAGGTGCTCAATGCTTTAAATTTTTTTAAAATATTTCTCGATTTTTAAGTTATAGTAATCTTTTACATAAACTCTTTAATTTGTTTTCATCCTTTCTTTGTTTATTTTTACTTGACTTTAAAGACTTCAAAAATTTAAGCACATCTTCTAATCTTTGCACTTCCTAATATCTTTGTATATTTCTTTTTTGTTGATACTTGATTTTTTATTTAGCTTAAATATGTCTTCAAAAAAATTTTTTTATTGCTTTATATTTTGATTGATATATTTCTCAAATTTTAAATGAAATTCATCATTTATGATGAATGTAAATTTTATATATTCTTACAAAATGCATCATATTTTCAAATAATAGAAGTATTTTCTATAAACTCATTACATTTTTCTCCTGTTTAATCGTTCATTTTGTTAATTATTTTTTATACATTCTCATTTTTTTAATACTTGCATATTTTTAATCTTTTCACTTTCTATTATTTATCTATATTTTTTGTTTAAATTTATTTTTTATTTTGTTTAAATAGTCCTCAAAAGTGCTTAATGCTTTACTTTTTTTTTATATATATTTTTTTCAATTTTTAAATGAATGTCATCCTTTACATTCTTTAAATTTTTTCATCCCTTTTTGTGTTGTTTTTTTACTTTTTTTTAAGTTATTTTTTTAAGAATATAAGCACATTTTGCAGTCTTTGCATTTACTTTTATCTTTGTATATTTTTTTGGTTAAACTTTATTTTTTATTTAGCTTAAATATGTTTTCAACAATTGGTTATTGTTTTGCATTTTTTCACACTTTAAAGCAATTTTTTTAATATAAGCATTTTTTAATCTTTATACTTCCTATTATTTATCTATATGTTTTGTTTAAACTTGATTTTTAAATTAAAGTCATCTTTTGCATTCTTGAATTTTTTAATCCTTTTTTTCTTTATTTTTACTTTATTTTAGATTTATTTTTTTTAAAAAATAAGCACATCTAATCTTTGCACTTCCTATCATCTGTGTGTGTGTATGTGTAGATGCTTGATTTTTTATTTAGCTTAAACATGTCTTACAAAATGTATCATTGCATTCTTTCTCTATTTTAATCGTTCATTTTTAATTATTTTTTATATTTTAAATATTTTCTTTATACATGGGTATTTTTTTAATCTTTACACTTCCAATTATTGATCTATGTTTTTGGTTTAAAGTGAATTTTTTATTTTGTTTAAATATGTCATCAAAAGTGCTTAATTATTTACCTTTTCTTGATATATTTCTCAATTTTTAAACTAATGTCATTTTTTACAATCTTTTAATTTTTTTTCGTCCCTCTTATTTTGTTGATTTTTACGTGTTGAAGTTAATTTTTCAAAATATAAGCATAATTAATGTCATATTTTACAATCTTTTAATTTTTTTTCGTCCCTTTTTTTTTGTTGATTTTTACGTGTTAAAGTTAATTTTTAAAAAAATAAGCACATCTTCTGATCTTTGAATTTTTTGCTTTTATCTTTGT